TCAGATATTGAATGAATCACCCGAACTCTGTTTAAATTAGTTGATTCATAACAGAAACTGTAAAAAAAATCTGACCTGCTATCCCCTTCATATTGATCCTTTATAAGGTGAGTTCACTGAATGGCATAAGAAGTTTTCAATGAAACGAGAGAATTGCATGAGATTTGAATAGAATCGCTAGAAAGAATTGGGTGATTTGCAGCTGTCCAGCTACAGTCGTATGCGGGTACCGTTCGGACGGATTTCTCGAGTGGATATCCTGGAGGCACGGAAAGTACTCCAGAAACTTGCCAGTCTACGAGAGGAATTAGACAAGAAACGCAATGATAAGGCTGATGTGGAGGAAATTCATAAAGTTTATCGAAAACAAACCGAAACTTCGAATCAATTTTATAGGTGATTTTGGGAAATTATTAGTTGAATTTATTTTGAGAATCTGATCTTTGATTTGAATCGCATTTTATTGTTTTACTTGTTTGCTTCACATCTTCTGTTTCGTACATCATTGAACATTTCGAAGGATTGATATCTTCTAAAAATTCCTGAAAAACCAGTTTTGTTCGAATGGTAAACTGCTTGAGGGAAATAACTTTGCCATCAAAGTTTTCGTAAAACACAGGAAAAAATTATTTGTTGAATAAAACATCATTCTAATCCATACAGTTGTCGGATATGAATGCACTAGAAAATATGCATTTTGGTTCATTCTTATCGTTCTCTACATAAATTATTTCAGACTTATGCCACTGGGTGGTTTCGAGAATGGTTTACTACCTGTGATTGATAGTGAGGATATTGTTAAAAATTACGAGCAAATGCTCAGCGAATTGCTCGACTTCGAAACTGCTGGACAGATCATAACGGCTGCGGCTGAGATGCGCTCCTCAATTGACCCTTATCTGTGTGTTTCATCGATCCGTTCATCCCGTTCTGACCATTTCTAGGGTTTTGTCGAAGAAAGTGACAAAAGTCATTCGAATAATCAAACCAACACTTTACAGATGAAAATCAGCATTTCTTTCAAGCGTTTTTATGGAAAAATCAGCATTTTTTACTGATGAAATAAACATTTTTTGTGAACATCAACATTTTTACAGATACATATTGAACGCAATTGAGTGTGAGTTGACGTTAATGGATCATGAGTGCATAATGAGCCAACGCATTTTGCAATACATCCAAAATTCTTCAAAGTCTTGTCGAGTTCAAGCAATCTATCGTGTGAAGAGTAAGGAGGCCACACAACTTTTCAACGAGAACGCTCTCCAGAAGCCGAATCATCGGTATGTTACCGCAACATATCATGTTTTGTCATTGAAAGGGCAATTCTGATCTTCGAGTGCAAATCACAATTGTTTTT